AAGTATGCAGGGGGCCTAAATCTAGTATTAAACCACTGTGACATGTTCAAAACACAAAAGCACAACATTACTGTAAAGCATAACATATACTGTAGCCAGTCCAACTACCTTTGTAGGTATAAATTAGGCCTTGATCCTGCAAATAACACAAATAACCAGGTACCCAAAAGTACTTCACTAGAGCAACACCAAACCTCTCGCCAACATCCATGCACATAAACTAAACAGTACACATGGAAGAGCCAGGTCCTAGCTCACGTTACAATAGTGCAGCCTTGCCATATAGTGGACATAATTCCTTCTTTGGCTGCCATTACTGTGACTTGAGAGAGGTCTGCTAGGACAGTGCTCACTAGAAGAGGATGTTGTAGTTTGCACATTTGAAAGAGAAGACAACACCTTTCAGAATGTCAATATTCTGTTTATATACACAGATGCCATTTGCAGGATACCAGCTTGCACGATCAACTCTTACCTGGGATTTTTAAAGCCACAAACAAACAGAAAACCCAACACACATTTCTGTGCTAAACATGGCATCAAGAACATCAAGGACCCCTTGACTACCATATTCAACTCTGACAGATTTTGCCAAAATAGGGCTTTTTGACAACTTGGTCTTTATAAAGTCTTCACATAAGAATTGTTATGAACTGGATTTCCTGCAAGAAGTGTCTGGTGTGTTGCATGCACTTTAAGAAGACCATCTTTGAAATGAGAGAGGAAAAATAAGAAGTCCTATCATTTAATGGCAAGCCTAGACTTTTCCATAATCTTCCCTGCCTACTGCTCTAGTGGGAAACATTTCCTAGACTCTCAACCCTTTCACGCGCAAGCAATCTACATTTTACATAAATAATTCAGGTAATTAATTGAGCTGCAATTTGGTGCACTTCTTTTTAGTCAGCACTATGGATGGAGTACCATTTAAAAGAGGCTCTGTACGGAAAGTCCCAAGCTGACGCTTCTATTAAGGTAAATTCCTAGATTCTCTTAACACTTTCTGAAACTCACATCAGTATATTGGGACTTCAGGCCCTAGGATGCTCCTCTCTGCTTTTTCTTGCTGTGTTTTCATCTATAAGAAAGAAGATATTTCCTGGAGTTCTCCTTCTGCAGTGCTGACAGCCATCATTTGAGAGATCAGATTCTAACATATAGGCTGCCCGAATAGACTGCAGCATAAGAAAGAACACAGACAGTAAGTAAATATTTCACATAAGAAAGCTGAAGAAGCTCAAGCAAACTGTCCAAAGAAATCACTGGATGCAAAGGAGTTGTGTGAGCACACAACAGGAAGTCTAGGGATTATTTTCATGCTGTAAAAGCTTTGAATATTTAAAAGTCAGCAGAAACCTAAAATTCATACAATAAAGATTTAGTCATATTTGTAACCTTCACATAACTGCTACAGTCAAAGGCTAAGCATCAGATCTGTGCCTCTGGTTGTAAAGTATTTATGAACTGATAGCACTGCCTGCCCAAACTGAAGCAGAGGGGCACCACATATACAAGAATAACTGAAGTGTTAAAGAATCTACAACCAACTACGTTTCAGACAGGATTTAAGTATGTGCACTGAGCATCAGGAGAAAATGGGATGAGAAAGGACAGCTGAGCCTACAACAGTGATGGTAAACTGTGAATCAAGTTCATTAAGTATTTGAGAAGTTTTTGCTGGTTAAAGAAAATGAGTAATGGTAACATTGGAAAGGACAGAAATAAACACAAGCCTAAAGAAACCAAATGAAACTAAATTAGCTAGGAAGAAAACAAATCCCAACTATCATCAGAAGGTGTAAGAAAAAGAAACATAGGAAGAAGCTTTTGTAGCATATCTTCATCTAAAGCATCAAATCATTTAAGGCTAATTAGAGGACAATCAGCAGTGTATAGCACAAAGGTCCTCTTACATAATTAAGAACAAAAACTTAACAAAAACTGCTCAGAAAGGACAAGATCCTGCAGTTGATGACTTCATACAAGTTACTTGCAGATAAGAGACCATTACTGACATCAGCTAGGCAGCTTGAGATGTGACTGCAGACATCCTCAGACAGAGCAGAGGATGAAGTTCTGCAAAACAGCACCAAAAGCCTTTCACCTATTAACTGCAGAACAAACAGGGATAAAACATTTTAAATGACTCTTCATCTAAACTGGAGCACCCTGCCATGCTTCCCACTGCAAACAGTTTTAGCTAATTTACTGTGAAGATTTTCCACATGTGGCCTGCAAAGAAGTTTTATGCAAAGCACTCATTTATTAGGCTTCAGACATGAGCAGTTAAAGTGATCACTGATTAAATCACCAGTGTTAATCACAATTCAAAAGAGCAAGCAGGGAACTTTGATTTAAATGATTGATTTTAATCCTGTTTTTCATTTGCACTTCTTAGCTGTTTTCCTAAAGGAAAGGTTGAATCTCATTGGCCAATTTGGCCATTTAAACATATTGATTTGCAATTAACCACTGTTTTATGTTAGATCTGAAGCTTTCCTAAACAGAATAAAATTGTATCTGTATTTACAATATTAAGTTACTTTTAAAAGAACAGGATTTATTCAGGATCTTAAACATTTTTGTTAAGCTTGAAAATAGTAAGTTAGAAATGTCTTATTTATCTTACACATGTGCTTCATGTCAAGCTCCTAGGATGGACTAGAATCCTAGGAGAAAGAGACCATATTAAAATGTTCAGTCAATTAAAATGCCTTATATAAAGCAAAAACTACCCAGCTTGTATTTCAAAATGCTTGCATTTCAAATTGTCTCTGTGAGACAAAAAAAAGTCATTAACTTTGTTAGTAAAAAGACAGACTAAAAATGATGGCTAGACACAGAGGCATTTCAACACTTAAAACATGCAAACAGACCAATATTTAAGAAATTTTCCAGCATGCCTATGCAAGGTAAGTACCCACAGAAATCACCTCGAGTTGAAATCAGTGGGTCTCAGATACCAAATTTGCTTAATTATAGCTGAAAATCTTTTTATTTCAGGTGTAAGATAGTGAAAAAAAAAAGTCTCCTCCCACATCCTCCAAGCTTTTCCAACTAAGAAATCTTACTTGTCACTTACTTATTTAAAAAATACTCTTATTTAAATAATTTTAATAGTTTATAGCAAGCTTAGTCCATAACGTCAACTTAAACACTTCCTTTTCCTGAAGGAATAAATGCATTCTAATGAAAAATAAATATTGACATGGGTCATGGGAATAAGAAAATATATTGAGAAGATCACCAAATATACCAAAATCACCACATTGAATGACAAGACCTTGGTATAAGGTATAATTCAGACAGAAGCAGAATGTGAACGCTTTCTCAGGTAACCGGCAAAATAAAATAAAATGTGAGTATTAGACAGCCCTATTCATTTTCTTACAGGCCACAAGTCTTAGATTCAGAAAGTCAAGAGCTCCATTGCTTCTGGGTTTCAAAATCTGCAATATGATTGCCCTTAAAGCAGAAAGGAAAAACACCACAGAAATTAAAGAATTAGCAGCAGTAAGAAAAAAAAAAAAGGAAGTTTAACATCACCAATTAGAAGTACAACCTTGGAAACTGGAACAAAGGAAAAATGAGAGAAGAGAAAGTGAACAATGCCAGTGGTTTAGAGCTCTCATTATGCAATACATAAAGTCTCCAGAGTGCACCAATTTTTGGTGAAAGAGAGAAGAAAACCACCTGGGGAGGGTGCGAAGATAGCCAGGCATGCCAGGAATTGCCAGAAGGTGAAGAGGAGCAAAGGTACAAGAAGAAATCTCACCTTCAGAAAGCCCTTTAGCTGCTCTAAGTAATCAGTCCTCACACAGAGTCACTCCTCTGCATTCCCAGCCTGAGAGTGCTGAAGGCAGCCCCAAAACAGAGGGGTACTGCTTGCACTGCAAGGAAGTGTGTCCTTGACAGGCGTCCCAGGGCACATACGTAGCATACTGGAAAGGCTATGGGGCTTAAAGAAGAGCAGATTAAGTAGATCTACCTGAAGACAGGAGACCACAAGGCTCCTAACACTAGGAAGAGTCTAGATCAAGCACCTGTCCACCCAAAACGGATGGCACCAAAAGCTTAAACAAAACATACCGTTAGGTAAAATGGGGTATCTCCACACTCTTCCCTCCCCATTGTCTTCTGAAGTTGAGTAGTTTAGGGCATACTACTTCTGCTAAAAAAAGAAGAGCTTACAGCTCTTTTGACTCTTCTAACTTAGCCATCTGCCAGTAAGGAGAGACAATGTAAGGTTCAAAATGGTTAAAAAGTAATTCAGACCAGTATCGTCAACGCAACCCACAACATCAATTTCATAACCAGCTCTTAACTGAGTAATGAATACCACAGATCTTTTCATCATTAAGGTATCCTACAAGGGCAGGCAACTATCATAATACAAAAATAAATGGCTCATATTAATTTCTAAGACATCTGGGGAGATGAGCTACATGAAAATTTATAAATCATATTGGCAAAGCATATGCAAAGTCACAAAGCAAAAGAAACATGGCAAAGTCAGTCTACCACCAAGACAAGGCTGTGACATCTGATATAGACTGAAAGAAAAAGCTACACTCACCTCCTTTGTATTTTGACTTAAATGCCCCCATTCCAACACCTCCAAACTGATAAGTGGTTCTACTTGTGTTCTTACAATCAGACATAAAAAGATCTCAAAATTATAAGGGAGAGGTATCCATGCTGTAGTTCAGGCTTGCAAAGCAGACAGACAGGTCCACAAAGGCAGACAGCACATACCTAGTTCCTCTTGACTGCAGCAAGAGTTCAGAACTTAAAGTATGTCCGCCAGTATGGTACTTAAATGTTGCTTCTGATGGCTAACGAACATCTTCCCCCATTGAAAGCAGCACATCTCTCCTGTACCCCCTCTAGCCAGTGAATTAAACACAGAGCAAGGCTATTTTCACAAATGCCTTCAAAGAGCTTTGAACCACAACACAGAAACAGCAGTTACAAAGGCAGTGTAACTCAAATCCCCCTACCTGGATGTCAGTGTCCTTAACAGGTTCAAGAGGCTCAAATGTAGTGACTGCACTTAGACTCTCTAGACGCTGAGAAATGTGAGATATATCGAGCCCTCTAGACCCAAGAAGCACAGACCTATAAGGAAGAAATTATACAAGTATGAAATTAGTATTGAACAGACAGAACTCTAAACCCAAATTCATTGTCAATATTTAGGTCAGCAGTTGGCCATGTACAGTGTTCCCAGCTGTGTTATATAAAAAGCAAAAAAAACCCCAAACTCTGAAAAGCCCTATGTGTATCTCTAGCCTCCTCAGCCCTGCTGAACTCCTTCTGCTGTTCCACTGCAGTACTGCACAGCTGCCAAGTCCTTCCAGAGAGAAAAAAAAAATCTATAGCATACTCGTAAATGTCTTCAGCGGCAGCCAGAACAAGGGACTGCACTTTTTGGCTTTAGTGCCCAAATTCAAGAACAATAGGTCCTCAGATACATCCTCCAATCACTGTATTGGGTTTTGGAAGCAGGAGAAAGGGCGGGGGGGGAACCAGCTCTGCAGTCATTCTGTTTCTCCCGGGCATGTCCTCCCACCCACACTAGAAGTCAACCCTATAAACAGCTTCTGCTCTCTGCAGAGTTTCCAATGCTGGAACTCTGTACTTACGCCTTAACATCAGCAGTCTCCTGGGAAGTGCGGGTCAGAGTGCGGGAGCGCAGGCGCTCCCCAGCCTGCTGAATCTCCTGCAGGTTGCGTTCTACATGAGGCAGCTCAGAGATACCTTCTGTCTCAGCTGCAAGCTGTTCCGCCTGCTGGAGAAGCTCACCAAAGCCTTCAGTATCCATCTCTGTTGCAGGTCTCACTCAAGATGCACAAAAACCTTCAGAGAAAAAGATGCTTGATCAACTATAAACAGTTTCTATACCTATGGCACCACAGACAGACCAGCAAGAGTAGGTCTTCTAGAATAGGATACTCCTCTGCCCATACTCCCCAAGCACTAAACATTAAGGAAAGACTTTCAAGTGGTCTCAGAGAGCTTTGCCTTGCAGGACTACATTCTCAAGGCCTATCTATGGGCCTGTCAGAAATGGGATGCAGATGCCATATACTGCCTTGTTATAAATGAGAGTGAAAGCAGAGACATCCCTGTGAAGACTTTTGTGTTAATTTAGCTAAAACCTACTTGTACACACACACATATATATATGTGCATACTACATACATATATATATATATATATAAAGTAATTTGAAGAGTCAGATCACTCAATGATCCTCATGGATCCCTTCCACTCAAGCTATCATATGGTTTTATATTTTTATATATTAAAAATTGAGATACATACATGTGCATGCATAGATATATATACACATGCATCTAGATATATATGCATGAGGGCTAAAAACACACAACTTACATATGAGGTTAAATTAGCAGCAAAACAGACAAGCAGACGCATGTACATAGACAGCCATAACTAACCATCTACTAAAATGTGCTAATCTACACAATATTAATCCCTTAGTCAAAAGGGATAAGTACACGTTGTTCCAACATAGAAGACGTGCCTCTAACTCTGAGGCATGCAGAAAGTTTTACCAGCGTTTGTGAGAATTGCTTGCACAGACCAAATGAGAGCATGGTTAAAGAAACTAAGGCAAGGGCTGGAATGGATGAGGTCAACAGTGCATTGTGCAGTTCCAAATTCAGAATGGATCCTCTTATTGTTACAGAAAAGACAAAAATGTAGTGTTTGAAATTAGCATGAAAAAAAAACCAAACATGTAGCTGCAACAGTGTCCATGTAAATTAAATATGAAATCTAAACCCTTCACACACCAAATCCGTGACTTGCAGCTAAACCAGCTATATGCTACAAGCACCTGGCACCTCTGTAAAGCCCCAAGAAAAAAATCATGTAAATCTAGTCTTGCTGAACAGTGCTCCAGACATGGGAATCTCCAGTACACTCTCTGACTGCACTTGCACCCTAACCCAAAGCGTCTGGGATCAAGTAAGATAAACCAGATCTCAAATATTAACTCAAGCAACTTTATAATTTACTCAAAATTAAAATTAATGGAGACTATCTGGGTCAAGGGAGCCCACCAAGAAGAAAACTGGGCATTTTTACAAACCAAAACCAGACCACAATTCCAAGTACTTCTTGGTACCCCTCAACCACTCCAAAGCAATTTAATGGTACAGTTTCAATATTCCTCACTTTCTCACTCGCGCCATTCCAAAGTACAACTACCAGTGGCAACAGCGCTGCTTCTGTCTGGACAAGTGATTTAAAAGCACTGCATGATGATTCACTCAGATACATGCAATTAGAAAGAGAAAATGATCCCTGCTGCCTGGGTGCCAGGACAAACCTTAACAGCCGGCACCCAGGAATAGAGAATTTCACAAGCACTCCCACCCACTTCTGGAAAGCTGGGAGCTGTTGGGGGAGGCAGTGATCGTGTCTGCACTGACTTATTAATCAGGTGAGACAGCAGAGACTGGATTTGGTTGAACAGATTAGCATGTCACAGAGATGGAGAGGATCAGGGAAGGGTGGCGCTTGAAACAAGCCACTCTGTGTGCTGCAATGCAGCACAGAACATCCTTCCAGTATTTACTTGCAATAACTCAGGTGCACCCTGGCCAGAAGCAGCCTCTGTTGGCAGACACCGACCAGAACAGCCACACTCCAGTACAGAACTGACCAGATCCTATGGGAGCAGCGACGGCAAGAACAGACATCAGCTTGATTAGATCTGATCCAGTCTGTTTCCTCTTTTCATTACCAACAAGATAAAAAGCCAGGAGCATAGGAAGGCACTAACTTCTAAAAGCACTGCAACCAAAAGCATGGAGAATCAGTGCACTATAAAGCTGCTCCCAAACCTGTACCTTTTAGCCATAGATTCCACATCAACATTATATAAGGTCTGCCCCATAAATTTGCTGATACAGCACAACTGCAACAATGATGAGATTGAACTGAATTCAGCAAATATAGAATAAACTAGTTATTCTGGAGCAAGTTAAACTACCTGTGATTATAATCAAGCACTGGAAATGACAGGTCAGAACTGAGAGAGCCAACACTAAATACTTTTTCTAAATAGTGACGGAATTCAAATATTTAGCCTGAGTAACAGCATGAACAACTCTGTCTCCACCGTGACAGAATTTACTGCATATGAGAGACTGCCCTCTGACTCCTAATGCTGCTGTGCAGGATGGAAACCGCTGCCACAGTAACGAGTAGGGCAATGGCAAATTTTCACGTCTGGCTTGGGAAGGAGCAACAACTGACACCTAAGGGAAAGAAAACACATCAGAAGTTTAATTTCTGTGAAACCAATCGACCTTGGGCTAAAAGCCAGGACTGAAAAGACTCTTCTGTAAAAGATCTTTGATGACTTATCAATCGAAGCTGTGGCATTAGACTATTATTCCATTAAACCCCAGTGTAATGTTTCCCCAACATTTAAAACCACAATTACTATATCTCGTACAGGTTGACTAGATTTAAGCCAGAAAGAAACTAAGAAAGATGATGACAGGTTTCTTCAGTCAGTTCAGACTGATTAAAAATGATGACTTATTACCTAAAAGCCCCTAAAAACTCCTCAAGAGCACTACAGTGTTACGCAGTGAAGAATGCTGTAGCTATTTTACTTCAAATATGGCCATGATGAACAATGTGCTGTACTAGCTTCAGAAAGAAGTTCAAATAGAATCACAGAATGACTTGGGTTGGAAGGGACCTTCAAAGCTCATCTAGTCCAACTCTGCAATGAGGAGGGACATCTTCAACTAGATCAGGTTGCCCAGAACCACATCCAGCCTGGCCTTGAGTGTTTCCAGGGATGGCGCATCCACCACCTCTCTGGGCAACCTGGAGCAGTGTCTTGCCACCTTCACTGTAAACAGTTTCCTCCTCATGTCCAGCCTGAATCTCCCTCTTTTAGTTTAAAACTATCACCCCTTGTTGTGCTGTAACAGGCCCTGATAAAAAGTCTTGCCCCATCTTTCTTCTAGGCACCTTTTAAGTACTGAAAGGCTGCAATCAGGTCTTTGCAGTCTTGTCTTCTCCTGGCTGAACAACCCCAACTCTCTCAGCCTTTCCTCACAGGACAGGCGCTCCATCCCCTGATCATTTTTGTGCCTCTCCTCTGGACCCTCTCCAACAGGTCTATCTCTTTCTTGTACTGAGGACTTCAGAGCTTGACGCAGTCCTCCGGGTTGGGTCTCACTAGAGCAGAGAGGGAGAATCACATCCATTGACCTCCTGGCCACATTTCTTTGAATGCAAAGATACAACTGGCTTTCTGAGCTGCAAGCATGCACTGCTGGCAAGCGTCTGTTGTACTTCACATATTGACAGGCTTTGTAATGATTAATTAACTTTGAGAAAGACTAAATCCAGAACTGCTGATGGATCAATACAGTTTCATAAGTCACAAAGTCAAAATAGTAAACAAAGAGGAAAAAATCTAGTGCTGGCCTCTTGCAGAGGCTCCAGAGTACTCCAAGACCTAGTCTGATGAGTTGGGATTGGCTTCTTTAAGGAAGACACACTAGCACTCTAGTAAGAGAGGGGGCAATTCTCTAGTTTGTACAGCTGACATTTGAGGCAAAAGTGCCTTTTCCACTGACACCTCACCATGAGCAGGGACGCAACTGGGGTCAACTTCTGAGGTCTCTTACTCCCTTATTTTTCATGTTCCACAAGTGGAAGTGGCCAAGTACAACCCAAATACCTGCTACACATTTTCAGCAGATCACCCTTGAGTATATAAAGTATATTAAAGTATATTAAACAACGTTTAATCAGACCTTGCAAAGGGAAAACTTCCATACCCTAGCAACACTAAAAATATATGAAATCAGGATAGGCCATCTGAAAGACAAATACCTAAAAGCTCCACACTATACTTGGTCCTCCGTCTGGTACAATAGCAACAAAGGGCTGATGCTAGAAAATCCTGAACAAGCCACACAATCTTCTACACCTAATGTTTCTTCTGCCACCCACCAATTAATCCTCCCCTGCCTCCCATAAAGACTTTCAGTCCTGTATGTTTTGTTCTTTATCTCATCTATTAGCAGGCATGCAGAAGTCCAAGCTTTTTATGATCTCAAAGAGCCATTACGGTACATAAGTTGGAGCATTTAAAGACAGCTACCCTGTCCTGAATCCAACTTACAGGTCTGAAAAACAAGAGTCACAAGTATCATAAACTGATTTACATTCTTCACTCAGAAGTCTGCTGTATCCTGCAAGACACATATGAAAGTAGTCCTTGGCAACTACAAGGTCACATAAGCTTAACAAAACCTTCAGTGAAACCAAAGCTGCATCATAGGCAGTGCAAAGAACACTGAGCCTCTATAACCAGACCCACGACAGCAGATCTTCCCCCAGTCAGGAATCAACCTGTAACCCTGATGTGGAGAGGAACGATGCCTCCACTTCCCCCCCCCCCCAGCATGAACAGAGACATCAAATCACAGGCATACAGAGATCCGCTCTCCTGATGCCTCCCCATTCAAACAACGAGCTTCTGCTTCCCAAAGTACCAACACGGCACCCTGGCTAAATGCTAAGCTCCCCTGCTATAGCTGGGCTTCGCACTGCCGACCATCACAAACCAGCTCGAATGAAGACGCTGCTCTTCACCAGCCCCGCTGCCTTTTAACGCGGGTTATTTTGGGGTCAGAGACATACAAAACAAACACTCCCACCCCTACCCCGAAGGGGCCCTAGAGAAGCCTCCGGGGAGGCCTGCGACTTCTCCCCACACTCCTCCTGCCGCAGCGGCCTGCACTGCGGCTGAGATGCTCGGCCCGGGGCCGGCCACCGCCTGCCTCAGGCAGCCGCCCCCCTGAGGAGATTCTC